AGGTTAAAAAGACGTTTTTAGGATATATTTTTGGTAAATTTTGACCAAGTTCAAATCTATCCCAATGTGTTATTTCTAATTTCTAGCTTTTGTTTCAACTTCATGATCAAAATGGGGTGTGTTTCTAGCATCTCGACCGTAATTGCGTATGTTTCGACTTTGTGCTTGACTTAAAATTGCTGCTCTTGCGCGGAATTTCAGGCGTAAAACTGCACTTGTCTGACTTTCAAAGACGAAATATAAGTCGAGCACCTCGAGCTGGGTAGCTGAACGAGCTTAATGTTATGCTTGACCACCGAGAGTAAGCCAAAAACTTTGGGCTCCGGAAAATTACGACACTTCAAAGCTTGCTTAAATTACTTTTGGTACAAAATTAAGTTTTTGTTTTCAAATTATGCTGCAACTTTTGCAGAGAGCCCGAGTTTTCTCATCTGCAATAGAAATTACTATACAAATCCTCCAACTCTTTTCTGTTTGAATTGTTCGTACGCTTTTCAGCAACCGAATTTATAGATGCCTCCAATTAAAAGAAGAAAATTGATAAATATCTTTGTTTATGATTTCTGTTAAAAACGTGTTCAAGTCCATTGATTTTGAGTTTTGACTGACAATAGCAAACGCAGCAGATTTTATTTTATTACAGAATGCACTGATTTCTCTTGTGTGTCTTAGAGCGCGTCTTCGTTGTAGAAAATGTTCTTGCCTCAATAAGAGGCCAAATTGTGCACTGGTTATGCGCTCAAACTTTCCAAAAATTTATCTTTAAACCTGTTCCAAAATGTAAGTGGATTCCACTTACGGAAATTCCGTGGACTCCGCGTACGAATAAACATAATGTAAACTTTGTCCTCAATGCCTCATTACGTGGCCAAACTGTACACTGGATATGCGCTCGAATTTTCTAGAAACTAATTTTTAAATATGTTTCAAAATGTAAGTGGATTCAACTTACAAAACTTCTTTGGAGTCTGCGTACAAATAACCATAATTTAAGAGTTTTCCTCACATTTGTTGTGTCGCAGATTCTGCAACAAGCGAATATAGCTAGTTGTTCTGGATTCCGCAACTGTAATGAAGATCAGTATACCAAAAGGTAAGATAAAAAGGTGTATTTTAATACAGAATGCACTGATTTCTCTTGTGTGTCTTCGAGCGCGTCTTCGTTGTAGAAAAGGTTCTTGCCTCAATACGAGGCCAAATTGTGCACTGTTTATGCGCTCAAACTTTCCAAAAACTAATCTTTAAACCTGATCCAAAATGTAAGTGGATTCCACTTACGAAACTTCCGTGGACTCCGCGTACGAATAAACATAATGTAAACTTTGTCTTCAATGACTCATTACGAGCCCAAACTGTACACTGGATATGCGCTCGAATTTTCTAGAAACTAATTTTTAAATATGTTTCAAAATGTAAGTGGATTCAACTTACAAAACTTCTGTGGACTCTGCGTACAAATAACCATAATGTAAGAGTTTTCCTCACATTTGTTGTGTCGCAGATTCTGCAACAAGCAAATATAGCTAGTTGTTCTGGATTCCGCAACTGTAAATGGATTCCGCAAACTGTAAATGGATTCAGAAGTTTGTTTTTTTACTGAACTTGCATATAAACAATCAAAATGCTGGAGGTGGAATTTCTATCTTAATTAAAGCGGAATGCGGAAATTAAAAGGAAGGACTTAGCCATTGTCAGCGAAATCCGTGAACAAATCTTGAAATATTCATTAGCAAAATCGATGGATGTCTTTTTTTATTATTTGGGATACATATTACAGCAAAAAATTTTGGGATTATAGTTTCGGAAACACAACACCGAATTGTGTTCATTCCTTGTTGGGAGTCATTTGAGAGTGTTTAGAAGTAGAACGCACAGCATATCGCCGATTTTGGTCAGTAATTGGGGTTCCATCGTTCCAAAATACTGGTCAGTATACGAATTGATGGAATCCCAAATACTGGAATAATACGGAATAAATATGGAATAATTCCTTATTTGGAGTCATTGGGTTGAGAGTGCTTAGAAACACTACGCACAACAATTCGCCAAATAAGGTCAGTATTTGAGATACCATCAATACCAAATTCTGATCTAGTTGGTTCCTAATCTAGTAATTAAAAGATATAACTTTAACCGCTACTGCATATATACGTATATGTAAACGGAATCCGCAAAAAAAATACCGATTTTTTTTTACAATTTGCGGAGTCCACCTTCAATTTGCGGATTCCGCTTACAGTTGCGGATTCCGCAAGAGCAGCTCAATTTAATTATACACATGTTTTATTATTTGTTAGTGGATTCCACAAACTGTACTGGTTTCCGCAAACACGGTTGCGGACTCCGCAATTTCGCCTAATTTTGGAGCGACTTTGAGCGGTATAGTCTTTTATGTATTATTTTGTGGAATCAGAAACAGCGAAGAATATCAAAAAAAAGAGCAATGTTGCAGATTCCGCGACAAATCTGATTTTGGCCTGTTGTGGAATCCGCTTACAATGATGCACAGAATATACAGTTGGGCATCGTAATGCTTGGAACTCCATCACAACTTCTGTGTACAAAAAACTGTTGCCTTGCAACTTAAACTCAATTTAGTATGAATTGTGTAAAAACAGCAGACGATAAAATTCATTCAAATAATTGCTTTTTAAAGAAAAAAGGTAAGAAATTTCATTATACACAGTTTGTTTTTGAATATTCAATCAAAAACTATATTTTTTTAGAATTAAGTTCGTCTTGCTGTTTAAAAACCTTAAATTCGCCATTTTCTTCTGTTTTCGCTGAAGAAGCAACCCTGGAAAATTTTGTTTGTTTTTTTTCTGCTTCTGTTTTAGTTTTCCACTGTTTGGAATTGATGAAGATTAGCAATTGAACCCTTCGAGTTATTACCACCCCTACGAAAAAATAGTTCAATGGTTAAGCCTATGTAAATTTCGAGCCTAGTAATAAAACCCCCCTTTTCGCAAAAAAGTCGAAATAGTTAAAAGATCCTAAAAACCTTATCAATTTCATCCTGAACTTAATTCTTATGATGTTTTTAAAGTCCGTTTTTTAGTAGTGGTTAACTTCCTATTAGTTTTTTCCGGACCTGCTTTTCTCTTCAACATTGAGAAGCTTTTCCAGTATCATTAATCAAGCTTTTTCCGTATCTTTTCCCGTTAAAAGAGACAACTGGGGTCGACACAGATTCGAGGAGTTGCGACATTGTCATCGTCTTGCAATTTTTCCGAATCATCGGCATTCTTTTTTCCAGTATCTGGATTCAAGCTCACTAATTATGCCGAATCGGTGTCCGGAACTGGTCCATTTTTTAATATTCTGTAAATGATTAAATTAGCTATGAAATTAACAATCAACTAGTGACTTTTTTTATTTAAGCACTATCCAGCGTTAATTAAACGATAGTTCATTTCCAAATTATCAATAAAAATTTCTTAATCTTTGATCTACGAAATAACAAAATTTTCTTTTTACTGGATTAGCAATAATCATTATTGCAAACTCAAACCGGATTGAAAAAAGTATGTCACTGTTTTCAAAGTCTGGACCTAGGTCGGGGAAGCTATCATTTAAAAAAATTTTAAAAGACAGATTGGAATAGCTCCAATCAGATGGTTTAGCTTGTTCGTTTTTTCTACACTATGCTCGAGTGGCATCCATTCGATAAACTTGTGAGTAATTGGGTGTTCACAATCGATCCTGCTTGCAACAAATTGTCGCCCTCAAAAAAACTAAAAACTATTGAATGCTACAAAATGTAGCCTCGCGAGTTGAAATTCTATTTATTTTATACATTACTAGGCCAAAACGTGCATTTTGTGATTTCAAACCGGATTTTGGAACAAGCCACAGTCATATTTTTCGCGGAATTCGAAAAATTCAAAAAATACTAGCTAAAACACTGTAAACTATAAGCCGAATCCACAACTTGTAGGTGAATTATGCATTTTGTTTGTGGATTCCTGTCACATATAAAGTAGCAATTAAAACTAAACCTTTTTTTTATTAGGTGGTCACTAGTGAGTTCGATCTCAATGCAACAAATTGAGCTACCAGTTGAAATACCAAACATTCGATCTCATTTCCTGCCTCCAACTTACACCCAACTTCGATATCAATTCCTACCACGCTCGACTTCAATTCCTGCCAGGCTCGATCGTATTTCATGCCTGGTAGCCAACTTCAATCTCAACTTCTGTCATTTCGATCTCAATGCCGGCCAATTCCTACAGTCCCAACTGTTTCATCTCATTCCACCTCTCACCCCTAAACATCTCACCTGAAAATTGATAATTAGAAATCACTCTGAGCCTACTTTAATCCCAAAGAATGGTTTCATTCGCTGATTGTATCCAATGTGATCCCGAAAAAATTGCTTGCTGAGAAACTTCCCAAATTCTAAAAATTGACAACTACCGATCCACCGATTTAACTAACCAATGTTTTAAGATTTCATCGTGGTTTCCACTGTTAATGGTTAAGTCCTCGATTTCAAAGTCCGCTTTGTTAAATAATATAGGCAGCTCTACCTTTTTATTTTTCTCATGCAACAACTGATTATGTTCCGTAAAAAACAAAAAAGCGAAAATCAATTACAATTTAGGAATTCCGCTTACATTTAAGGATTTCGCTGAAAATTTTTGCGATTCCACTTACATTTGCAGAATCCACTTCCAAAATGAGGAATCCACTTACAATTGCGGAACACAGAACAGCTAGCCATATTCTCTCGTTCCAGAATCAGCGACAAAACAAATGTGTCAACAAAATTTGCGTTACTTTTATTAGGACGCGGAGCTCACGGAAATTTTGTAAGTGTAATCTATTTCCTTTTTGGAACATGCTTAAAGATTTTTCTCTGGAAACCACAAGCATACAGACAACAAACTGTGCGCCTATCCAGTGCACAGTTTGGACTGGTAAAAGAGTGTAAGGTTCAATTTCCCGATTTGAACAAAAATACGTATCATACTACTTCACACAATTCCATATGTATAGAAAAGTGCATGAAAATTTTATTATAAATAATATATGTGTATGGAGGTCGACCCAAGCTTCCTCTTAAGCATAAATATTTGATCAATTACTTCGAAAGTCGGAATATTAAGTGCAGCATACTTGATACTTGTGTTTCTAAGGTGCTGCTAGCTGAACATGAATAATTGTGAATGTTTTGCATGACCACCAAGAGAAAGCCAATAAACTTGAGTTCCGGAAAAAGGATGAAAATTAAAGATTGCTCTACACGATTTTGGCTTAAAAAAATCTTCTTTTTTTCATAATCTTGCTACAATGTATTGCAGATAGCTAGAGTTTTCCCATCCCCAATAAAAACTATAATACAAATCATTGAACTGCCTTGTGTTTGAATTGTTCCCACGTTAGTTAGTAATCACGTCTTTAGATGACTGTGTCCGGATGGCAGAAATTTGTTACACCTCCTCGTTTTTGATTCCTGAGGCGAAAATCTTGATGATGTCCATTGATTTTGAGTTTTGACTGACAATTTCAAGTGCAGCAGATATTATTTTATTACAGAACGCACTGATTTCTTTCTCGGTGTCGCGAACATCCTCTTGGGTTTCGGCGACTGCTTCTTCGTGGTAGAAAATGTTATTGCCTTGGAACTCCATCACAACTTTTATCTCCATGCACAACACGATAACAGTCTCCAACTCTTGTTCGAACTCGGCCCGGTTTTGGTCGGCCATTTTGACTATCTAAAACGAAAAAAGGTAGGGGTAAATAGTTGAAGAAATCCGAAAAACTTTTTGATTTTCATCCTCAGTTTTATGATTTTGATATTTTAGGCTGTTTTTCGGCTGTGGTTTATTTTACTTTTGGCTCACCTGCCCGGCTTTCTCTTCTACATTTACGGGTGGTTCCACTATCATCGGGTAGATTGTGCTGATAACCGAGACAACTGAAGTCGTCATTGCTACTGGAGTTGAGGCTCCTTCAACTGTTTCGGTGGTCGGTGACCTTCGTTTTCTCTCATCTTCATCGTCGTCATCGTCATTGTCATCGTCATCGTCATCGTCATTGTCATCGTCATCGTCATCGTCATCGTCATCGTCATCGTCATCGTCATCATCAACATCTTGCGATTCTTCCGAGTCATCGTCATTCTCTTCTCCAGTAACTGGCTTCGAGTTCATTAATTTGGTTGATTCGGTGTCCAGAACTGATTCAGCAGCTTCTTCTATTTCGACTGTGACATTTTTACCGTCTTTCCACAGTTTGTATGCGATTTCCTTCATAGATTCGCAATGGTCGACCATGTAACGATCATTCTGCCGCGCGTCTATTTCCACCTGAAGATGATATTTCTACTGATTTGTTTTCAGGTAGTTTCAGAATGAAAAAAAAAGACATCGGGAAAAATCATTAAACCACACAGAAATTAACTGCCTTGTGAGTCAAAATTTGACCTTTAGTTTAGTTTTCAGGTGAATCATAGCGTAAAACAGTTTATACTTGTAAATTTTAAATAAAGTTAGCATACTGTAGAAAAGTTTAGCCTGTGTTGCTGAAAAAGTAGTTCAGTTAGACACCACATTGTTATTTGGAAGACAAATAAAAAAACTTAAATGATTCATTCCCTCTTTTAGTATTTTCCGTGTTTTTGGCACCGCAACAACAAAAATACACCAATCTAAAAGTTTCAGGAAAACGGTAGCTCACAAAGATTAAAAATTAATTTAGGAGACTATATTAGCGAGAAGCGACAACTTGCTCCGCTGTATTTGTGTTTCACAAGAAAGGTACAATGCGCATGAAACAGTATTTGCCGCTAGTCTGTTTGATTTTGCTGAGAAACTATCAAAAGAAAAGAAAATTATTGAAATGTTTTGTAAGAGTCCTTTACAACTTCAGCGATCAGAACAACGAAATCAACAGTCGGATTGACCATTCTACGAACAATTTTACCTATCTTATTATATTCTCTAAGATTTTTAGTTTATCATTTGTAGGTAAATATCTCCCCTATTTCAAAGTTTTCTAATAAAAAAAATCTGAGACAGCGTTTCTTGAAACACAAAATTCCGAATAAAATTTGAAAAGTTGCCAAAAACTATTTGAAAACATCAAGA